ACCCCTACCAGCATCAAGATGCATGTATCCATGCTTTGAAAATAAGTTTCTACTCCTAGAAATCCCTTGACAACACCATTTCTTTTCAAACATTCTAGGACACATCCAGGACTATAGTCAATAGGTCAATCCAGTAGGTCAATCCAGCCTACACTGGCTTTGAATGCATACACAATAAGGCAAAACTATATTTCCAAGTGAATTTGTGTGAGGACAAATTTATCATCTTTTTTATCTATTTATCATCTTATGCCTGTACATAGTTGGACATGAATATGATTAAACTTAGATGCATGGTGGGATGGACATCCACAGTTAAGAAGTCTTACCTAACCCCAACCTGCCAATCAAAATAGAGAAGCACTCAGATTACACCACTTGTAACCAAATTCCTTCTGTTGAACCCCATAAAAAGAAGCCCCTATTGTGGGATAATCTTTTGTACACTGTGAAGCTGTGTCTCTGCCTAAGGTGACTTTAAACTGGTTTAATGGCCAGCTGAGTGGCCAATAGCTAAGCAGGAGAGAATATTCAGGACTTCTGGGGAGAGAGAGGAACTCAGGGGTTGGAAACTAGGTGCACATTGGAGACTCCACTGAGACACAGGGAATTGCACATACAGAATGGAGGAGAGGTAAAGAATCACATAGAGGAGCACAGATGAATAGAAATAGGTTAAACTTATAAGAACTGGTTGGGAACAAGCCTAAAGTAAAGGCCAAACTTTCACAATTGATAATCAACCTCCATGTCTTTATTGGGGAGCTGTCGGTCCAAAGAAAGTCTGACAAAATTGTACAAGTTTCAAGCAATAACCAGGGCCCTTGAATACCTTCCGGCAAGTGGCCTGTTGCTCACTTGCAATAAATTCTGATTTGCTCTGTTCCTTTGCTTTGTTTTAAATAAAGCTTTTTCACTACTTAGCAATTTTTGTGGCCTTTTATTTTGTTCCTGAATAAGAAGCGAAGAGCCTGAGAATTCCCAGCCCATATGCTAATCTTGCTAACCTTTCTTAGTATTTTTCTTCTAAAGAAGTTTGTAATATGAGGTAGAGATAAACAAGTAGATGGCAATGACAAACTGTATATATATTTAAAAATAGAACAAAAAAAACCCAAATTAATGTAAGTTCCCAAGTACTAGACACATACCTTGGACATGGGAGTTCAAGAAAGGACTTTGGTAAGCAATATTTTTAAAATTTTATTCTTTGAGAATTTCACACATATGTACAATGTATGATGGATATATATATATATATATATATATCCCCCAATATTTCCAGCTTCCCCTAAACACTCCCTAATTTCACGTTCTCCACCTCTTGCTCCTCTTTTCCTCCTTCTCTTCTTTTAAATATATGCCACTTTATCTGTCTCCAATTAGTGTTGCTCATAGGTACATGGGTGTGGGGTCGTCCACTGGAATTTGAGCAGCCTAATCAGTGGACACTTCCCTAAATAGAAAGTACTTTCCCTCCCTCAGTTGCCATCAACTGCTAATAGCTTGTCAGCTAGACAGTGGTTTTCTACCTGTGGGTCACAACCACTTTTGGGATTTGCATATCAGATATCCTTTATATCATATATTTACATTACAATTCACAATGGTAGAAAAATTACAATTATGAAGAAGTAATGATAATTTTATGGTCAGGGGTCATCACACCATGAAATGGATTGAAAGTTCACAGCATTAGGAAGGCTGAGAACCAGAGGCAGAGAAAGGGCATCTGGGCACTGCCTCCCATCTCCTATCTGTGCTGGAATTTTGGCTGATTTTTTCTTGTGCAGGCAACCACAGCAGCTGTGAACTCATAAGTACAATGGCTATTTCATGTCTAGAAGACAAGATTTCATATAATTCTTGCTCTTTCTCCATCTCTTTTGTTCTTTCTGTCTCCACTTCCATGATGTTCCTGGAGCCTTGTTGGATCAGGGATGGTATTTTAACATGACTTGGAGGGAAAAAAATGAATGAAAAGGTTGGAGGAGGACATGTGAAATTCAGAACAATTTGTTTCATTTGTGAACCCACAGAAAATAAATGGCTGTCATTTTCAAGAAATATAAAACACCTAGAATATCCCGATCTTTGATTAAAAAATGTTGGTATATTATGATGAAAAAATTTGATGGGAGAGATAGGGTTTATCTACTCTCAAGAATGGACCTGGTGTGTTGGGGGGGCTATTTAACAATATTTAATTCATGAAGATATAAACTTGACATGACATATTAAATTTTGCTATAGTAAGTGAAGAATACACTGAATTAAGCAACACTAAAAAGGTAAAAACAACAACAACAACAAAACCAAAGCAGTAGTTCCATTACAACTTCACTCTAACCAGTCACTGGGCTCTTTGTGTCTCAAAGACATATTGAAATGCACACTGTATTTTTGGGTTATATATACACCTTTTGCCTCTAATTATACCCAGAATTCTCCAATACATCTGCCTTTCAGCTTCATGATTATTCCTGCTTCTTTCTCCTGCTTCTAAATATATCTCAGCACATCTAATTAGTGCTGCTAATGATAGCTGTCTGCATTGAGGTTTCAATGGATATCTGGGCTGCAAAGTAATGAATGACTAGAAACTAGTCAAAGGACTTTTTCTTAGTTTTTATAACAGCTTTGTTTTTCAAAGACTGGTTTTCATGGTCAAAAGCTTACGATGTAAAAATGGCAGTGCTGTAGAAATGGATTCACTTTATGACAAGACTATTCCATCCCACTCCGTTGCAAAGCTGGGGACATTGTTTGAGGTTCATATGTACTCAGTTTCTGAGATGGGAGAGTTTGTTTGGTTCCTTGGGGGGAAAACTATCTCTTTCACATGATGGTTAGTTCAGAAGTCATACTACCTGAGTATTGCCAATTGGCGAGAATGTCAGGGGTCGTCTCTTTGGTGTAACCCAAGGATACCCTTGAGACAGTCATGGTGCTGGAAGCTGCTGAGAGTGAGATTAGCACTGTGAGGGAAGGTGGGCAGTAAATGAACTTGAATGACAGGTGAAGACTAAGAACATGCTCTTCGTTGTTCTTCCACCATATTCTTTATTTCAATCCAACCCAGAATTGTTGATATGGTTAGTCTCACTAGGCAGATTGCTCCGGGAATCCTCTATCCACCTTCTGGGGTTAGAATTATATGCAGGCTGCCCTTGTCACCCAGCAGGTAAGTCAGTTTCTGGGGATTTTTTAACTGTCGTCCTCAGGCTTTCATGGTGAGTGCTTTAATCACTGAACCATGTCCATAGCCCTATTGTTACATTTTAAAATTCAGTTTAAAATATTTGAAAAGAACAATTATGCGCTACTGTATATATAATATAACATATAGAAGACAAAATTATGGTTAAAGAAATATAAAAGTAGAAAAATAAGTAGATTTTGTGTCCACTGACACCATCAGAGCACTTTTGTTTTTCAAGAATTCAGAATTTATTAATAGAATTTTAAAAAGGCACAGAACTTACATAAAATATATACCCTGTGAATCATGAACTTTTATGTTAGGGACTTCTGAAGATTCAATGTATGGTGAATATAATTTAATCCTCTGTAATCCTCTATGGTAATAAATACTTCCCCTTCCTCTCAAAGAGGATCGTGCTCAGGGTACAGGTAGTGCTGTGAGATTCAGACCCACGTGTGCTTGCTTCAAAGCCTCCATCTCTGACCACTGCATTTGCCTCTACAAAAAAAAAAATGAAAGAAACATTTTACTAACAGAGGGGGATATCACTGTCCACTGGGTTCGTAAGAGGAAACGTAGAGCAGTGTCGTTCTGCAGGGTCAATTAAATACCTCAAAGGTAGTTTTCCTAAGACTGCCTTTATGTTATTAGATAAGCCAACAATAAAATATAGCAAATGGAAACATTGCTAGAATTATCTTTCTAAGCTGCCCATCGTTCTGGTTTGATTTCTGTCACTGTAATAAACAACATGAACACAATCAACAGCTTGTCTTAACTCTGGGAAAAACAACTAATTTGGAGCAGCAGATTATATTGCCTCATGTGCTAAGGATTGCCTTAGGAGGATGCAGCCACACAACTACTACAAATGGGAAAAAAACGACGGTATAAAAATAAAGACATCACTGAAGTTGAAAGAAAAATAAAGCTGCCCTAAATGAATGGTCCTGCAGGAATTCAGGTTTGAGAGAAATATCAGTTTGACATTCTGTCCTGGTTGGTTTTGGGGAGGAGTGGTTGTGCTTTCGTTTGTTTGTTTGTTGTTTTTGTTTTTTGTGTCGACTTGACATAAACTAGGGTTATTTGAGAAGAACTCCAGTTGAGGAAGAGCCTACCTCATTTTGCCTGATTGCCAGTGTGCAAAGTTTTGGGGCATTGTCATGATTAGCAAACAATGTGGGAGGACCCAGACCACCATGAGGGTTGCTGTACTTGGGCAGGTGGTCTTGGGTTGTATAAGAAGCAATTTGAGCAAACTAGGAGGACCAAGCCAGTAGACAGAATTACTCCACGACCTTTGCTTCTGTTCCTGCCTTGAGTTTCTCCCTGTCTACCCTCAAGAACTGAATGTGCTCTGAGAGTTGCTATGTGAGATAAACCCTTTCCTCCCCGTTTCTTTTCATCATCATGTTTTATTACAACAAAAGAATGCTGAAATGAGACAAATTCCAAATGTTCTTAAATGTCAGAAGTCATTAATAACAAAGCCATTGAGGTTGCAGCTGCTGACACATAGCTTATCTGTGACTAAACATTGTGCTGATAAAATACCTTCAGTGTGGTAGCTTAAACATAGATGTAAATCATCAAGCACATAGATTTTTTTTTTTACATATACAGAATGGAATTTTATTCCTCCTTAAAGAAAATGAAATTATGTAACTCTCAGGACAATGGGTAAAGCTGGATCACATTAAGTGTGTGACCCAGGCTCATGTTCTCGCGTATGTGGATCCCAGCTCCCAATTCTTTTTTTTTTTATTCTTTAACAATTTATCTTTATTTATTTTAATTTTTTTTGAACATAGATTTTTTTAAATTTACTTTTCATTTTTCCTTTCGGCCATCTGCTGAAACCATAAATCTAAATTAGTATCAGTTTCAGAGTGTTGTTCTTTCTATGGGGTTGGAGAGAAAACACGAGATTCATGGCGGTCCCACGTGGGTGAACTTCAATGGGGGGGTGACGACAGGTGAGGGACAGGGGTGAAGAGACGAAAGGAGAAAAAGGGGTGAGCTATGGCGTTCCCCGTTTTTAAGGTGGATCCAGGTGCATCTGGGAAAATGTCCTGCGCATGCATGGCTTTCCGTCGAACTGGGATTTGTAGTGTCCTCTACCGCTTCTGGGAATTGTAGTCCAATGATCCTTCTGCGCATGTGAGGCCTTGTCTCTGAAAGGAACAGCATTTTACCCTTTTGGTTTTATTTAAAAAAAAATGGGGGGGGGGTTGAGGGTCTTAACGGGTAGGGAATGGAGGCATAGCCCAGTCTCTCATGACTGCTTCCTGCTCGCTTTGGGCGTCAAGGGATACGGGGAGTGTCCAATCGTTCTGATGATGTTTTGTTGATTATGTCCTGTCCGCTTGTGTTTTGAGGTGGCTGATTGAAGAAATCGCATCTGTCTGGCTCTTGAGGAACTGGGTCATCGTTAAGATGCTGGAAACAAAAGTCGCATTAGTAGAGAAAAAAAATTTAAGGGGAGAGGAGATTTGGGAAATTAAAGGGGAGATTTGGGGTGGGGGCTTTAGGAGGTCTGGGGTTAAGAATGATAAAAAAAAAATAAATGGTACTTATTCCGTTAATGATCTGTTTGTGTCTGCTTTGTTCAGGTGGATTGAGCTGGCATCTTGGAGCTTAAAGAAAATGTCTTAAAAGAAATAGATTTTAACCATATATTCCTTAACATTTTAGGGGTCACTGCTGCAGACAGTGATGAACCTGTTATGCCAAGGAACTTTGTTAAGAATTTGCTTACCACCTGAACCTTTGTCTCCGTTTCCGATGATGATTTCTGTAATGAAAGCTGGATGGTTATTTAGGAATTTAAAGAAGGGAGGGTGTGTTAACACAGGAGGATTAAGTGAAGGATGGGACCACTATTTCCCTTAGACTGGAGTAGAGGGGGCTGAACCTGGTGTCCTTTGGAACTTAAGAGAACAAGGTCCTGTCTGAGTTACCGTGTATGGAGGATTATCTTGAGCCTTGGAGATGAATGGTTTAAGATGTGACAGGTGAATCCAGCGAGAAATTCCTTCAAGCGCGGCAGCTGTGGGAGTTAGAAGAATTACTCTGAGGGGACCCTGCCATTTAGGGGATGGGGGTGAGGGACGTTGGCCTGGAGGTGAGAATAATACCTTATCTCCTATTTTAACTGGCGGTGGACATGTGTTAGCACATGGTTGAGGTAGTGAGTGATCTGTGAAGTCCCACAGTAGCGAGCGTAGGTAGAAAAGGAGGGGAGTGAGCAGGTGATCAGGAAGGGGAGAGGTTCCCCATGAGAGGCGGGGGTTAAAAACGGCCACCCCTACATGAGTTCGAAAGGTGAAATGAAAAGGGGGCCCTTTGGGAGAGCCTGAAGCCTGAGAAGAGCCAGAGGCAGAAGCTTACCCAGTCGAGGTGGAGTTCCTGTGACATTTTAATGAGGGCTTCCTTTAAAGAGCGGTTAGTCTGTTCTACCTTACCTGAAGACTGAGGGTGGTACAGTATGTGGAAATTCTAGGGTATTCCAAGTGCCCTAGATGGATTTTGAGAAATCTGGGAAGTAAACTCTGGGCCATTATCTTTTGGCAGATCTGACAAGAGGCCATGGTAGCTTTTAGGAACCTTATATCTTCAGGTGTGGGTGTTTTAACTGAATAACAATGGGGGAATGGTGATTAGCGACAGCGGGATTTGGGGTGTCCCACACGAGACTCCACAGTGGCACGCGAGTGCGTGAGCAGAGGGGTGAAAGAAGGTGCAAGGCGGTGGGTGGGAGGGGAGCCAAGAGGGGCTTGGGAAGATCGACGGGGAGGCGTAGGGCGGGAGGGGGATAGGGAGGAGTCCGAAAAAGCTTCCGGCTCCTGTGTGACCTGCGGCGGGGGAAATGAGGAGAAGCTTCCAGCTGCCTGTGCAATCTGCTGCAGGAGAAATGGGGTGAAGCTGAGTCGGAAGGACTAGGCGAGGCCCTTGCGAGTTATGGCATTCCCCGTTTTTTAAGGGGGTTCCAGGTGCGTCTGGGAAAATGTCCTGCACATGCGTGGCTTTCTGTCGAACTGGGATTTGTAGTGTCCTCTACCACTTCTGGGAATTGTAGTCCAATGATCCTTCTGTGCATGTGCGGCCTTGTCTCTGAAAGGAACAGCACAGAGTACTTATACAATGACTGAATAGCTACATCAAAAAAGAAAGAAAGAAAGAGAGAAAAGGAAGGAGTGCACACATATGCAAAGATAAAAAATCAAGTAAGCAAACCCATCAAGCTTTCATAAAACCATTCAGGTGCTGTGTGGGACATTGAGAATAAAAGACAATTTGTATCTCAGTTGTAATTTTATACTTCAATGTTCACTTACTTACATATTTCTCTGTTCATCATCTTTAAGCTCTTTGCTGGCAGAAGCCATCTGTGGACTATCCTTTTCCCAAGTAAAAAATTTAGTTTCTGAAAAATATAAACTATGTATGTATGAACTAGTTCATGTACATACAGAATATTAATAAATAAATGGATATGCTTAGATAAAAAATATAAAAGACACATATAAAAAGACTCAATTTAATGGATTTAGCCAAAGAAGCTACTTAGAGTTTTTCAGCCCTGGCTATCTATTAACTACCCTATCAACATTGGTAATAAGAATGTGATGTAGAATTCCCCTCTATATGCTGTGATTATCATTGATTAATAAATAAATAAACTGCTTTGGATATTTAGCAGGGCAGAACAGAGGTAGGCAGGGAAAACTAAACTGAATGCTGAGAGAAAGAAAGCAGAGTAGAGCAAAGCCATGTAGCCACTGCTGGAAACAGATGAGCCAGAACCTTACCCATAAGCCACAACCATGTGGCGATATACAGATTAATAGAAATGGGTTAAACTAGATGTAAGAACTATCCATAAGAAGCTAGAGATAACAGGTTAAGCAGTGATTTAAATAATAGAGCTTCTGTGTGATTATTTCGTGGTCTGGGCAGCTGGGAACGAACAAGCAGCCTCATACAATAGGAATGCATGCTTTATTGAATATATTGAGGAAAACAGATGAATATAATTTAAATTTAAGTTGTATGATAAGGTCAATAATAAACCATTTTAATATAATTCACATGTAAAAGCTGATTGTGCTAAAATGAAGCAACACATTTGGATATTAAATCTGTAGAGACTTGTTAACTGTACAAACTAAGAAGACAGAAGAATAGATAAGACAAAGACTTAGTGGTGTGAATGACAAACCTAAATGCATTTATCAATAGGTTTGCACTTTATTCCTGAAGACCATGAAATAGCTGCTGCAGAGGTGTTGGGCAATGTGCCCTACAGAGTGGAGCTATGTAAGGATGCAAGATTCTAGGATCAAAATGCTTTCCATAGCCAGACAAGGTGGCACACACCTTTAATACCAGCTCTTGGAAGGCAGAGGCAGGCAGATCTCTATGAATCTGAGGTCAACCTGGTCTACATCGTGAACTCTAAGACAGCCAGGACTACATAGAGAAATCCTGTCTTTAAAAAAAATGCTTCTTATAATATAGTTTGCAGTGGTCAGACAGAGATACTGCTGAATGCCCACTGGTAGCTATAACTAAATAAATATGATTTCAAAATACAGTATATTGCCTCTGTAGGCACTGATTTGGATTTATGCAGACTTTCTAATTTTAATTTCATTGAAATATGTTTGTGTGAAGATAAGTTTCAAACTAATGAGTTTAGATAGGATAATATAACTTCTATTAAGAGAAAATGAATGCCAGATGAGGAGGTTCTGTCTAGAATCCCAGCACTTGGGGGCCTAGGTAGGAGGATTGTGACTGAATTCCAGGTCTGCTCATCAAAAACAAAATCCATAACATCACCTATGAAGTGAAAAGAAAACTAGAAAACTTACAAAAAAAAAAAAAAACAAACCTATCTTTACTCCTTTGAGAAATAGTGTAGAAAGAAAAATTTATATGAAAACAGAAAAAATTGTACCTGGAGCAAGGTTCATGGCTGACACCAATATCACAGAGTCCCCACAGTTATTGCTGAGCATAAACACTGTTGAGAGTTTTGTTTGGGTAGGCCACCAATTGGGCTGGAAACATGGAACCAGCGTGCATAACTGAAGGGGCTACTACATGCCATGTTTTTATATTGGAAGGAAGCTGGGTGTTCAGGTCAAGCACACACGTTCTCCTGAAGCTTCGCTCTGAGGAGGATGCTCTCTGATAGCCTTGAAGGATGTCATCAGTAACTCCCTTTCACCTAGCACAGCTCTGGTCTCTGGGGTTCGAGTCTTGTACAGACGCTTACTGGAAGGCAATGGTCTTGGAATAAGATATACCATAAAGACAATTGTCTGTTTTATTTTGTTTTCTCTTACAAAAGAGCTCATATCAGTTGACAAGGAAACAGAGCCTGGATATATTTATCCATATTTTATCCTCTGAGGAGAACTTGCAATTTTGCTTCCAATTACTATTCTCCTTAAAACATCACTGTAATTAATGCTATGTATTTAGTTCAAGTGTAACATACACCAAACCACAGAAATCTAAAAAGCAGCACTCAGATGAATTTTCAATACAAACCATGTCATTTCTGGTACCAGCACCTGAGAATTAGTATCTAAAGAAAAACTAACTTGCTTTCTTCAAAAATATTTATGTTATTTTCTGTGTTACAAGAAGGAACAGGCTCCTATATCTAATACTCTTAATGGGTGGCTGGAAGTGTGTGTATATAACGTCCTTTAATAACTCACTGAACTAACATCATGTGGAGGCTGACGGAGAAGCCAAGGACAATGGCGCTGGGTTTTGATTCTACTGCATGGACGGGCTTTGTGGGAGCCTAGTCTGTTGGGATGCTCACCTTCCTGGACCTGGGGAAAACAGGGAGGACCTTGGACTTCCAATAGGGTAGGGAACCCTGACTGCTCCTTGGACTGGAGAGGGAGGGAGAGGGAGAATGGGGGGAGGGGAGGGAAGTGGGAGGAGGGAAGGAAATTTTCAATAAAAAATAAATTAATTAAAAAAAATTCTGCAACTGAAAGTCTCATTCAGTCATCCAAATGATAAGAGTAGTGAGGGCAAGCCCTGCTTTAACACAAGGTAGAGCACTGAAACCTTGCATCCTCTCCAACACTTAGGGCAGCTGTTTAGCGATTTGATCTTATTCTCAGGGCTCCCTACTATTTGCTAGTCACTTGTGCTCCATCATACATACATACATACATACATACATACATACATACATGATGTGATCTGAATTAGTCTATGCTGACTGTGGGCCTACACATTGGAGAACACGCATTTCTTTAAACTACAGCCAGTGTACTTAGCTAACAGATCTACTTGCTCATTCAAAATATTTACAAAGCTCCACTCTGTGACAGAAACTGTGCCTAGCATCCAGGGCAAAGGGAGCTTGGGATCTAAGCAGAGGTCATCGCGATGACAAAGGGCGAACACTCACTGAGTTGCTGCTGCCAGCATAATTACAGATTCGGCCCTCTGTCAGCTTTCTATCTCTGATTATCAGCATTTGTCTCTAACCACGGCAAATCAATAGATAACATCTCCATTATCAGTTTCATTTTAGAGGCAGAAGAAAGTAGTGTGCAGAGCTTGGGGAGTTTTTCTGAAGTAACACAGATAGGAGATGTGTGGTTCAGCCTTTTGGTGTAACAAAAAGCTCCCCCTCTTGCCGCGCTTTATCCTGATGGCAGATCTGTGTGCTTGGCTGTGCTACTCCCCCTGTCTTGTCCTTGTCTGAGCAGAGCCTAGTAGGGCTCCAGGTTGCTAGTTGGGTTCCTCTGTCCCTGCTGCCTTTCCTAAGTATCCTTTGTTTGCTGTCTTTATGGAGAGGAAGAGGCCCGCTGGGAAAGAAGATCTACATAATGGGAAAGTGGCAGACTGTCTCTTCCCCTGACATCCCAGAGTCACCAAAAGCCACAGGTCAAGCTTGAAGTCAGGGAACTATTCTCTTCCCACATTAGAAAATGGCAAGGATTGAGAGGACAGGAAGAGTTATAGTCAACTAGACCATATTAGCAGCAGCCCTGGGATCCATAAGCAGGGAGACCTGTTCAAACCCTGTTATTTTAGGTATGAGTAAAATCTAAATAAATAAGGACTTTATCATTTTTAGAACATGACTAGTATTTTTGAGTAAAATTTCTACTTTAAAATAAAAAAGCTGTACATTTTAACAGCTTAAAAATAGTTGGAATTAGTTACTACTATTCTTGTTATCAATGGTAAAAATCCTTCTTCCTCATTGGGTGTAACTACACCTCATGGTTTCCTTACAGTGTGGACACATTCTCCATCCTCTACAACTTTTCTGAAATGCTGTGTCATCAAGGAGATACAGTGCGCTGTTTACTCTGATACTTGACATGGATGTCACATGGGAATCCAGGTCTCCCAATGCTCAGCAATGCATCTATGCTTCTTCATGTGGTCATTCGAAGTCTGAGGAACTCACCAGGCCTCAATGGGAGCATTCTAAAAATGGGGCCCTGAGACATATTGGGTATGATGGAAGGGAGTATTCTCTCTCTCTCTCTCTCTCTCTCTCTCTCTCTCTCTCTCTCTCTGTGTGTGTGTGTGTGTGTGTGTGTGTGTGTGTATGATTTCTGTGAACCTATAACTCTACTCTGAAGGGACATGCCCAAAACAGTCTTGATGTTCCACGTTTCTAAACTGTTTTCTTTGGAATGGCAGATCCTGAGCACTGTGGACTTGTTCTTCTTGTTCTTACATTTATATGGTATGAGCTCCCTAGTGTCATGCAATGAAGATGAGCTTCAATGGCAGGAAACTGATTTCACCAATTGTAACTCTGGCCACTGAGTCCATGCCCTTCCCAATATTCAGGGCATCGGAATTACTAGAGCACTGATGGATGACTTGGTCTTTATGGGTTCACTGTATGGCTATTGTGTCTGCTTGTAAAGCTAACCATCTGCCGATGATCAGCACCAATTCTTCTATTTCTTAGAATGAGCGTGAAA